CACTGTGCTCTTGGGAGTTCTGAAGAAAGTTCAGGATTGGTGGTGAATTTGGAGGGTGTGCAAAAGAAAAAAATTAAAAGGGAATACAGGAAAGAGTAAGGTTATGAGGATAACAAAAAAATTAGGGATGAAAGATTGAATATCAGATTGGAGGGGGGAGAGTAGGGAGGGGTGAACTTTTTTTCAGAATTTGGGGGTGGACGTGGGCAGCGGATGGGGCTAGAAAGATGAGGTAAACATAGAATTGAGAGGGAAAAAGAGGGTGGTGCACTTAGGATCTGTGGGGCAAAGAATTTGTCCCTTGGGGGCAAAGAGGGGGAAAGTTGAGGGTATAGTTTTAAAACCAAAGCTCTTTTATGGGGGTGAAGCGTGGGTGATGAATGTTGCAGCGAGGAAAGGTGGAGGAGTGGGATGTCATGTTGAGGGGAATGTGGGGTGAAAATAATAGAGAATTGTAGTTTGGAATTAGGGGGGAGGTGCGGGGTACCAAACTTTTTGTCCAGAGGGCTGAGGAAGGGGGTTGAGTGGTTTGGGCTGTAGAAGAAAGGGGCGAAACAGAAGATTCAAGAGTGTATGTCTGAGGGAAGGAAGGCGGGGTAGGGTCGGGCCAGGGAAGGGGTTGGGGGGAGGGGGTAAAGGAGGTTTTGTGTGCGGGGGCTTGGACTTTCCCGCAGGGATGCGTGAGCGTGTTTGAAGGGGTGAATGGGGACAATGGTTTTTAAAACTTGACGTGCGTTGGATGTGGCAAAAAACATTTATGAAGGGTTAGGGAAAAAGCAGGCCCGGGCTTGAGTCCCCGGAATGGGAAATACGTGCCCGCACTCTGAAGGAGGGGGGTTTATGTTGCAGTTTAAAAAAATGTATGAAAGCACCCTTCTGGCAAGACATGATGGGTGAATGGGTGAAAGTTTTTTTTTTCGGGCCCCCTGCCTTTTGGGGGGAAATGGGCCCGGGGGTTGTAATAAAAAAAAAATAAAATATATATAAAATTATTTTTTCTTTAACGCACCACCCATTGAAAAAAATTTAAAATCATACTGCGTCCAAATGGGTAAACTGGTCAATTTAGAAAGAACTCATTAAATAAAACCCCTTTCAAAAAATTTTCTCTTTACAGTACATTTAAAGATATATTTTTTTAAATTTATTTTTTTAACCCCCTTAAACTGTCCAAAGTGATCTACTTTTTTTCAAACATTTAAAGTATGTAAAAAGCTAGAGCTTTTTTTTTATTTTTTCATTTGAAAAACTTTTAAAAAAATTTTTTGATCCACTTTTTTTTATATTTGAAAATTGTAAAAAAAACGTAGATGTACTTTTGAACACTACGCATGTGAACATAGATCTGTCTGGACATTTTAAAGGGTTTAATATAAAAATTAAAATTTTGAAAAAAAAAGAACCTTGAAAACTTCCCTAACCTTTTTATAACAAAAATTTTTAAATTTAGCCAATCCAATAAATATATTTTAGAGAAGTTTAAAAAAAAATTTAATTAAACAACCCAAAATAAAATAAATTTTTTTGTTAGGTTCAGAATTTTTTCGCAAAATTATTGCATACAAAATTTTTTTGTTTCCCTTATTCGCAAGAAGAGCATTTCTATTGAAGCCAAAAATTTAAGTTTTACCTATTCGGCACACCATACGTGTGTGTGTGTGTGTGTGTGTGTGTGTGTGCGTGCGCATGTGCGTGCGTGTGTGCATGCGTTGATGCAGGAAGAAATGTCAGAATGGGGAAGAATAACAAGCGGGGTGCCACAGGGATCGGTATTAAGGCATTACTGTTTCTGGTTTATGTGAACAACATACCAGATGGGACCGAGTCAGGTGTGTGTCTGTTCACTGATGATGTAAAACTAACGAAGAGAATACAAGCAGTTGAGGATGGGTAAAGGATGCAAATAGATCTGAACAAACTACAGGGTTGGTCAGATAAGTGACTTCTGGAATTCAACTCCAGCAAATGCAAGCTCATGAAAATTGGGGAAGGAGCAAGAAGACCAAAATCAGGATATAGACTCTGGGGACAAGAGAGGCTGCAGACTTGACTCAGAAAGAAAAAACTATGGATGAGCATAGTGCCCAGTATAATGCCAGAGCCTCAAACCAAATAACCTCTGCTGTCAACCCTAATCTGGCAAACTAAGAGTACGTATTATTATTATTATTATTACACTCTAAAGGATTTAGCATAGTTGTAATTATAATATTTTCTATTTTTATTAACACATTGGCTGATTCCCACCAAGGCAGGGTGGTGATTATAATAATACATAATAATAATTACAGTCAAAACTAAGCACTAAACCCAGAGTCGTACAGCACTGCAGGGCAAGGTGTGCTAAAGATGTAATATGCCTGATCAGAGACCAGTGAGGATGAAGAGTATGCCAGAGGTAGAGTCAGTAAGGGCAGTGAGGTGTACTAAAGGGAAATATAATTAAAGGCAATGTAGTAAAGCTCTCACTGACAAAAAATCAAAGAGGGAATCTGTGTCAAAGGTGGGGCTCTCAGCGAGGAGGTCAGATAAAGTAAACCTAAGAGTAACCTTCAGGAATCTCGACAAAGTCATTCTGGGCCCTTCATATAACATATGTTAAGTCCATCTTAGAGTACGCAGCACCAATGTGGAACCCTCCCCTGAGGAAACATATTAAGAAACTTAAGAAAGGTGCAGAAGTATGCAACAAAGATTGTTCCTGAGTTGAGTAACATAACATACAAGAACCAGAGGAGATATGATGATAACATACAAAATACTCAGGGAAACTGATAGGATAGACAGGGTCGAGAAACAAGATTTCAGGGACACAGCTGGAAGTTAAACACACAGACGATCCACAGGGATGTCAGGAAGTGTTTCTTCAGTCTCAGGTTGGTTGGAAAGTGAAACTATCAGTGAAGAAATGATGGAGACAGGAGAGACTATACACAGCTTAAAGAGTAGGCATGATAAGGCTCATGAGGCTAGGAGTGAATCTAGCAAGCAGCAAATTGAGAGGCAGGGCCAGGAGCCAAGACTCAACCCCTGCAGCCACATATAGACGAGTTCATACATATATACAGTGGTACCTCGGGATACGTACAGCTCCCAACTCAAACAATTGTGTAAGTGTATTTTTGTAAGTGCTTTTGTAAGTGTATTTTTGGGATCTGAAACGGATTAATCTAATTTTCGTTATTCCTTATGGGAACAAGTTCGTTTGGTATCAGCACTTGAACAGGCTTCTGGAACGAATTATTTTCATATCCCGAGGTACCACTGAACTTATATATATTTGATACGTAAAATTTATACACAATATGTGGAGGACATTGCACATACATTATACTGTATCAGAGTTTATACTTTTTTGGGGATTTCATCATAATTAGCTTTAAATTAACAAAGGCACTACACATTTTTTCTTAAGGAAGAAATATGTTTAGAGAATGCAGTTATATTATTATTATTATTATTATATTCACAGAGACATTAAATTTTGTATTGGGAGGTAATCAGGTTCGATTCAAGGGAATAGTAGCTCCAATTTTCTGGATCAAGATCCATTCACCCAGGGTTTGACAAGTGTAGCATTTGCTCTAGCCTGCCCAACATTATACTATCTTGAATGTCATCCTACCCCTCAAGGGAGGTTCCTCAATACTGGTGAGGGGCTCTTGATCTAGGGAAGTGGATCTGCACTCTTCTTCTTTCAACAGACTGGCCGTATCCCACTGAGGCAGGGTGGCCCAAAAAGAGAAACGAAAGTTTCTCTTTTTAACTTTAGTAATATAGTATATGAGAGAAGAGGTAACTAGCCCATTGCTCCCGGCATTTTAGTCACCTCTTACAACACGCATGGCTTATGGAGGAAGAATTCTGTTCCATTTCTCCATGGAGATGGATCTGCACTCCAATTCCCTAAATTAAGCCTGAATGCCTTCCATCCCCCTCCACACACAGGCTCTATATAATCCCTAAGGGTTTAGCACTCCCCATAATAATAATAATTTAATTAGCATCATTCTCTCTGGTTTCTCTCCTTTCATATTTACTCAATATCTCTTGTGCTTCTCTCTCTCTTTTCCTCCTGTGCAGAATTTAAGTAATTCTTGTGCATCCAAGCCAATAATAAAGTTAGCATAGGCAGAAACAGAGAGGTTAGGACACTGAAGACATCCAAGAAGGAACAACAAGATTATTATTACTCCCAGGGGAAGTTATAAACCTGTAGGGATCATACAGCGTATCAGAACAAGAAACAATGGATTAGCGTTGGATAAGTTGAGATTAACAAAGGATGTAAGACAGCACTGTCTGGCAGTACAGGTAGCTAGAATAAATGAGACATTTGGGTATCTTTTGTCTGGAAACGTTTCACCAGCCAGTGGCTTCTTCGGTCCAGCACAGAGAAAGGTGGAAGATGAGGAGTTTGAGGTAATCAGTCCCTCAGCCTGGAGTGGATGTATTCAGTCCCTCAATTATATTTTTATCAAGATTGATGGACTGAACACATCAACTCCAGACTGAAGGACTCATTACCTCAAACTACTACTCATCTTCCACCCTTCTCTGCATTGGACTGAAGAAGCCACTGGTTGGTAAAACTTTCCAGAATAAAGATACCAAAGTATTGGAAAAGTGTCTCAGTTACTAACTCCTGCAACATTCCCCCGATGAAAAGCAGAGGCACCACAAGTACACTGAGAGACAACACAATAAGTATCAGGGGCCCAAGACTTCAATGCCTCCCAGCATACATAAGGGGGATTATCAACAGACCCCTGGCTGTCTTCAAGAACACACTGGACAGGCACTTAGTCAGTACCTGACCAGTTGGGCTGTGCTTCGTATGTCAGTTTGCGTGCGGCCAGCAGTAGCCATAATATAAAAATGCAAATTTTATCAGAATTTTCAATAAAATATTAAGGTCCTGAATCCTCATTAATCCAGGTATGACAGCAGATTACAATCCTCTGCTTATAAGATGTGTTGTAGGAGATTAAAATGACAGGTAGGATTCTTCCTTTCTTGTATTTAATAACCAAACAAAGATGGACATGACTGGTTTCTTCTGTGGGTTGCATTGCCTTCGTGAATGGCTCACAAGTTAAAGTAAAATGGTTCACCCGAACATTCACTGTCCTCCAAAGGAAAAAAAAAACGACTTTTTTTTTTGGCCATTCTGGTCATTTATCACCAAGGTAGGGTGACCCAGCGATGGTAACACAATCATCATCATTCACATGGTTACCAACTTGTGCAAACAGGCTAATATAATATTACAGTTGTTTAGGTAATTTGGCCATTTTAAATTATGTAAATTTTAACAAAGTTAGATGGCTATGTTATTTTTAGTGGAAAATAAACAACTGGCATAGCCAGTATCAAAAATAGTCACATCTATATTTAACTGTTTTCCCTTGGAGTGCAGGACAACACTTAAGGTAATCCTAGAAAAGTACAAAGGTGTTTATGATTATCTTTTTTTTTTTAAACTAAGTTATTTTTTAACCTAACAAAATACTTGGCACCTTCACACAATGTTTTGACCTAGCTTTCCTATAAGGAAACCTAGGCCAAAATAAAAACCATTTACCTGTACAGATGCTCCTCGACTTACAATGGTTCAACTTGCAATATTTTGACTTTACAATGGTGCAAAAGCAATTACATTGGAGATGAAGCTTAAGATAATTACCCAGCATGAAGACGACAAGTCTGTAACTTGTATTTATTTATTTATTTACTTTTCAATACTGGTATGTATTTAGTTACAGCAATTATTTGTTTATTTACTTATTCAGGGACTGTAGTTATTTATTTTTGTATTTATTTAGCATTTCATATTCATATTCAAGTCATGGTAGTATATTTTCAACTTACAGTGGGTTCGTCGGACCGTAATCCCATCATAAGTGGAGGAACACCTGTACTTAAAGAGATGAAAGGTACTAGTTACTGCATTATGCAGACTTTAAAAAGCCATTCACCTTTCTCCTGAATTAGTGGAAGCTTCAGTGATCTCACTGTCTGATTTCTCTCTACACAAACTTTCCTCATCTTGCATGTCATCAACCATTCTTATGTGGCATTTGCTTCTTTTTCTTCCACCCTTCGCTTCTGAAGGTATTCTGATGTTGTAAGAGTTACTGGACCCACGACGGCGGAATCTTCTGACTTGCTGTCACTGTCAGAGTCGCTGTAACTTCCATAACCCAGCAAGGTACTTCCATGTTCGTCACTCTCGCTCTGAGAGTCCATCTCTCCTATGAGTATATTCTGCAGGAGTTGCCAAACACAATATACATTAACATTTAACACATGGTAAAATTAAGAAAAAATATACAGCCTCTCTTCACTTAGCGACATACTCGTTTACCAACGATTCAGACTTACGATGGGCTCTCTGACCAGTATGCATACCTAGATAATGTATATTAGAGCTAATTTCCTGTATTCTGTTTATTACAATACACAGTACACTTCTGTATAAACATTTAAAAATATACCAGAAATGTTATAAATGGTGCAAAAGTAACATTAAAACAATATCAAAGATGGTCGACACAAACCCACCACCATTATAGTATACTCACTTAGCAACGAATTCATATTTACCAATGTGATTTTAGGAATGGAACTCCATCGTTAAGTGAGGAGAGGCTGTAATCAGGCTGAAGTTGAATTTCATCTTAAACTTAGTCAAGTTAAAAGTGAAACCATGAGGTCCTATAAGTTAATTTAAATTAATACTGCCTGCCTCCTTAAAAATTACATATTAATACACCCCTTTCCTATACATTCATCAATAAAACAACTTTGACATATTAAATGAGAGAGAGAAATACTGTATATAAATATATGGTATAGGTCACAGATGCAACTAATGTGGCATTTTACTGTGGCAGTATTTCACTGTTCAGGAGCTTTGTCAACCCATAATGGCTTGACAAAGGAAACTTACCATCTCTACAACATTACTATCGTCTTCAGTATTTTCTATGTCCATGCTTTCTAATTTCTGCTTGGACTGGGTCAAGAGCTCTTTGGTAGACTCGTGAAACTCGGGTAGGAATGCTTGTATCCGATCCAATAGTGGACTGCGAGCAACCTGGTGAAACATCAAATACATTATATATACACTTGTGAACTTACCATCCCCATATATTTACTGTAAAACACAGGTGCTTTTCGACTTATGATGGATCGACTTGTGGTGCAAAAAGTAATTACTATGGAGATGAAACTTAAGATAATTATCCAGCACGAAGGCAGCAAGTCCATAACTTTTATTCATTTATTTTTCAGTACTGGTATTTAGTTACAGTAATTATTTGTTTATTTACTTATTCAGTGACAGTTATTTATCATATAAAGGGGCTCCATACTTAGCGACATACTCGTTTACCGACCCGTCAGACTTATGATTGGAAACAAATAACCCTAAACCACTCTCAAACTGATAATGCAAACCTAAGTAATGTATAAATAACAAAAAAAGGCACAATACCGTGACTGGAATGATACACAAATAACCCGCACATAAAAGAGAGATGAGAAGCTTACCCAACGACTTACGTCCGACTTGGCCATTGACAAACGTCTCACTAACCGAAGTGGAGCAGGAACGACTATATAATAAGGCAGGAAAGAGGTGGATATAGATATAGTAGAGTAGTAGTAGTACAAATTGTAAATAATAGCCAGAGCTTATTTCCTCTATTCTGTTATATTACAGTATCCATACACTATTGAATAAACAATTTAAAAATGTACTAAAAATTGTTCAAAAATGGTGAGGGACTGATTACCTCAAACTCCTCCTCTCCTTATACCTTCTTGTATAAGACTGATGAAGCCACTGTGTGGCAAACATTCTTCAATAAAAGATTCCCACATGTTGGCATAACTGTCTCCGATTCTTCTTAAAAAAAAAAAAAAAAAAAAAAAAAAAAAAAAAAAAAAAATACTAAAGAATGGTTGACAAACCCACTACCGTACAAAGTTAGCCCTTGCTTAATAAACCAATTCACTTACTGTCTACTCTAGAACAGAACCCCATCATTTAAGTGAGGAGAGCCTTTCAAGATATGACTTAGGATATTTTCAACCTTGTGCTGGGGTGTTGGAAGGTAACCCCATCAAGGAGCACCTTACTGTGGAACTGGTCCTGATTAGAAAAGGAAGATGAAGCCTCTGGCCATCCCCTTGCACTGAATGACTCCCATGGGTTTAGAGAAAATAAGAAAATTCAATAATGTTAGCAGAATTTCAAATAATAGGTAAAAGGACACTTGCAACTAATGTGACACTTTATTGGTGCAACGTTTCGGCTTGACAAACCTCCTGGAGAGCGAAACATTGCCACAATAAAATGTTGCATTAGTTGAACATGTGTCATTTTACCTAACAAGAAAATACAACACAGTAGCTACTGCACTCTGAAAGTACAGTGGCCCCCCGGTTTACGATCAGCTCCCAATGCGACCAATTATGTAAGTATATTTATGTAAGTGCGTTTGTATGTGTATGTTTGGGGGTCTGAAATGGACTAATCTAATTCACAATATTCCTTATGGGAACAAATTCGGTCAGTACTGGCACCTGAACATACTTCTGGAAGGAAATCCTCTGCAAGGGGGCTCCTGCTGGGAAGAGGCTCTTGTCTGAGGAATTAGCCCTCGTCGGTCTTCTTCCTCAACCGCACCTAATTACCCCCCCATTCTCTCCCCTCCCCAATCCCATCCTCCCCATCCTCCCCTTTTTTTCCATTCCTCTCCTCCTCCTCCTCACCCCTCCCCTCCCTTTTGCCCATCCCTCTTAGAGCAGCCTCGTGATTTCTCCCCACAGCCGCTAGTTCCTAGGTAGGGGAAAGAACCGGGTCGATCCCATTCCGTTAGGTGTCTTGGCGGTGGCGTGGCGTTAGTTTGCCGTGGAATCTGGATTGCTAGGGATGTCCCGATCCCTCTCCGTATCCCCGAGTACTTTGGGGTCTTTTGGGCGACAGGTGTATCTCTGGGAAGCCACCTTTTCGATTCCGGGGTGGTGGCTTAAGATATTCTTTGTGGCGGATTATCGGCCGCCCTCTCTGTTTCCACCGAGGTAGCCGCAGATGTAGGTTGCTATCCGGATTGCTGGTTTACTGGCGAAAGAACGGTAGGGTATGCACGGGTTCCATGCTGCATCTGCGCTACTAGCGGTGTCGGTCCTCTTGGGCCTAGGGGATTTCCGGCCCTTTCATCCTCCCCCTAACGATTCCGCCCCGCTCCCCCCCTTGTTTCTTCTTTTTTTTTGTTTTTATTTTCTTTTCTTCTTCTTCTTTTTTTTTTGCTTAAAAATAAAAAGCAAAGGAGTAACCTAACCATGGCAACCCTAGTCCATGAAACCTACCCCCACTACCCCCGGGCCCCCTCTTGATACCGCAACCCCATTCAGACCACTGCCTTGTGTTTAACCACTCTTCGACACTCCTGATCCCCTGTACCTCTTGCTGGGCTGTTTCCCTCACCCCGCTTCAGGTACCGGGCTTCGACTTACTCCTTCGATTTTGTCTGAACTCCAACTACTCCTCCGCTCTCCTTTGACTATGCTTCCGGCGTCTCCCTCTACGTACGGCAATGTTCAATCGCCCACCCCTTTTCATGCCGACCACCTCCGTCCCTACTCCTAAACGCCAAAAGTCAATCCTCTCTGATGATGCTCCGTCGATACCTTTCCCCTTCTACTCGGTAAACGACCGACACTCATGCTCTCCCGCTCCACCACGTCCATGTCGACGACACAATGACAAATTCTTTACTTAAGACCAACCTTTCTCTTCTGCCTACCTTCTGAACCATAGTATTGCCAAAGCGCTGCCTGCGTCTTTTTGGCAGAGATATTGCATTTCACGCTCCTCAGAGCGGGTACGTCCCATCGTCCCACTGTCCAGAATGCTACCCTAGCTCATGATCTTTCTCTCCTTCGAATATCGATACTCTCCTCTCACTATTGAAAAACATCTTTCTCTCATTCTTGTGTGGTACTGTCATTCCTGCCCCAAACCATAGTCCAACAGAATTTATCCAGTCATGTGGCAATGACATTTTTGAACAGCTGGAACTCCAGGATCTCCCAATCCTCAAAGTAACACTATGTCCTTCCTGCCCGGGGTCGGAGACGTTACCCTTGCAATGTGCTCGATAACTTTTGACAGCCGAGAAGCTCCCCGTCCTCTTGTATATTCGCGGGTACATTCGTTACAAGTTCGAAAGGTGATACCTACACCGCAACAATGTAGAATTGCTGCGTTTTGGTCACCCAGCGAAATTTGCAGATCTATGGTCCGAATGCCCAGTCTGTGGTGCCACAACCATTCAATACATCTTGCAGTCAACCTCCATTCGCCATAATTGTAATGAAGGCTCACCCTTCGTTACGTCCCCCTCTGCCGTTGCCAGGTCCTACTTAAATGGAACGTGAAATCCGTTGCCTCAAAGAGGCAGTAACTGGGTCTCCCTTATGCTATGGCACTTACTCATCTCCCCTCACAAGGGTGACTAACTACCCGTGTTTCTTATTCTCGTGTTTCCAAACACCCCCCACTTCTATCTGGGGTCCCATCTCTGGCAGCCCCTCCCTCTGTTGTTACCCCATCCCATAGCCATTTACGGCAATCTAACCCTTTTGCTGTCCTTGGCTCTGACGTCCCGACTACAACCTCAGTCGGTTCTCGCATCTTCCGCGTCCGTCCTCAAAAGCCCCCAGTATCGACAAGACCCGTAGTTTCGACACCTAATACCCAATCGCCCCTCTACTCATAAGGTCCAAATAATCCCCATGCTCCAATCTGCTTTTTGCCCCTTCCTTCCCTTCTTCCACCTCCTCACGTTACCTTTCCAGTCTCCAGTACCTAGTTTCTCCCCTCTCTCGGCTCTATTACAAGTGTGGAGATCACCCGCCTCCGCGAACTAATGCCTTCCAACCACCCCCGCCCCTCCAAGTTTCTCCTCGTCTTCACCCTCCCAGGTTTCTACCGTTCTTCTGTCCCCCCCCACACTTCATCTTCCCAGTCCCTTAACACTTTTTCCCTCCCCCACTACTTTTGGTACCGTCCAGTACGTCCCAACTTTACTCACCCTCCTCCTCGCTACTCCAATATGGTTTCCCAACATCTTTGAATTCAGAAACACTTGAAGCCATTTCAGAATATATTGCCAGAAGACTAAACCGCAATGAACACTGATTCACTTTTCCTGTCCGTCCTTCCCTCTCCGCCATCCTTCAACAACCCCATTCTTCGCAACGCCTTCCGTCCTTCGCAACTTGAACATGCTTCCAATGGCCACCACCGGTTGACTTTTTCTAACCCCTCTAGTCCCTAGGTTGCCATTACCTACATATTCCTGATATTTTCCTTTCATCGCCAAGCTGATGGCCTATTTACAGTTGAATACCGCGGCGGGGCGGAGGGTCGAGGGGAAATCGGGTGAGCTTTCATATGTGTTGCTTTCCCATGTCTTTCCCCCTGTTGGTGCTTGCGTTACAAGAACAAAATTACACTTCGGGGGGGCAGTTTTCCAACCTATCTCAGGCTAAATTTATTGTATTCTTCGGATGCCCTATTTCTCAATGGACCTTAATGAAAGTGCCCTTCTTCTACGCAGATGAAATTCCGTACTGTCAACTATTTGTGTCCATACCTCGCTGCATACACTGCAGCCCGTATCCACTTGAAATAAGTGGTTTACAAATGTTCTTTATATCTCTCCCCCCCGTCTCGAGCATTTTCTATCCCAGACTTTGCCTTTCTTGTTTCATCCTTACCACCACCACTCTGTTACGTGGTGATTTTAATGCCCACCCATTTTCCTCGGGGGGGGGTCCATTGACTCCACGTGGCATTCATTGGAGCTTTTCTTGCCTCTCAACCCTCCATTTTTAAATACGGGTACCCACCCATTTGATCCGCCGTACTCATCTCTCTCTGCATCGTTCTAAGTCAGTCGCTCGTCCTCCACTGCACTAACTTCACCGTTGGTCTGTTCTACCAGACTTAACATGACAGCGGTTGAGGGGGGGGGGGGGGGGGGGGGGGGGGGGGGGGGGGGGGGGGGGGGGGGGGGGATGGGGGGGAGGGGGGGGGTCGATCAGTTCTTACTTATCTCCTTCTATTCACCACCTTCCGTAGCCGCGCTGGCAATTTGATCGGGCAAATTGGATCGTTAACTCACAGCCCGCACTGCGTTTTAAGTGAGGTACCTTCTTCATACCTCCATTGATGAGCTCCTACAACATCTTCTCCGACATCAGTTTTCACCACGCAGCTTCTCATTCTAATAAATACCCCAAACCTCAGGCAGGCATTCTCAGAAGTGCGTGCCTTGGTGTCTCCTGCTTGCGCTCGTGCAGTAGTTTTGAAACCGTGCTGCATGGGGCAGGTACCGGTAACAAGGAACCGCGAGAAGACTTTGAATTAAGCAGAAGCGTGCGATCGCTCGCCGTGTCATCCGTGAAGCTAAACCGCACTTGTTGGCGAGACTATGTGTTTCCACCATCACCTCTGCTTCTTCTTATGAGTGCAGTCAGAAAAAGTGAAATTTTGAGTGGTAAATACTCTCCTGACCCGCTCCTGTTTCTACGGTCCACTGGGTGTTGATATAGCAAACCCCTCGCCGTTGCCATTGAACTTGCATCACATCTGGTCCGTATTTCCCGAGGGCTCCATCATGCCCCTCGGTTCTTTCCTCAAAGTCTGCCAGAGAGTTAGTACCCTTGACTTTTCTTCTCTCGAGAAGAACAGTATAAGGTGCCTTGTACACTTCAAGAACAGGAGGCAACGCTCTCTGCTTGCCGATCATCGGCAGCTGGCCTGATGACAGTCATATTCGTAGGTTACAACATTACATCTGTCAGCCCCTTGTAATCCTCTTACACCTCTTCTATCTTATTTGGGCACAGGAAGTTCTCCCCACTGTGGAAATCTCCGATTGTTCTTCTTTTTCAGCAACCGGGTACACAGGACATGATGCCTCCCACTATCGCCCCATCGCTCTTACAAGTGCAGGTTGCAAAGTAGGCACGCCTCCGTAATCGACGAATTAATGTGGTATTTAGAGAGCGCACAACAGTCTCCCTCTCCGCTAGTCCACTATGGCTTTCGTAAGGTCGTTCTACCTTAGACCCCTATCACGCTTGGATACTATGTGTTTATTCGTAAGGCCTTTGCGAATAATCCTCAGTTATTGCGATATTTTTTGACCTTGAGAAGGCAATGACAAAACTTTGGAGGAATATATTTTGGCCCAGCCCAATCCTTAGGCCTCCCGAGGCATTCTACCATCCTTACTTAAGAAACTTTTTACTGACAGACATTTCCTTGTTCGATCAATAATGTCTTTTCCCCGGACCTTCTCCAAGCTGAAGGGTCCCTCAGATGTGTTCTAAGCACAACATTTTTTTCTCCCTTGCTATAAATGATTTTGGCCTCTGGTCTTCGCACCCAAAGATTTGGTCATCACTCTAGTTGATGACTTCGCTATGGCTTGTGCAGGGGTCGCTGCCTGTCACCTTATTGCAGTTTTCTCTCCAGCATGCGGTCGACCGTGTTTCCACTAGGCCACCCCACATGGGTTTAAAATTTTCATCCCAAACTCACAAAACCTCACCAAATTACTTTCACTAGACGCTCTGTTATCTCCGATCATCCTTTGTATCTCTATGGCTCCGCCCCGTATCCCCGAACGTGATACAGACAGGGTTTCTAGGCCTTCCTTTGACCGTCGGTTAACCTGGAAAACCTCACATTACCTCCTCTGAAGGCACCTTGCACAGCCGAGCTAAACCTTCTTAAAACCCTTGCTCATCTTTCCTGGGAGCTGATCGTCGAACTCTGCTTCGCCTACATCAGCCCTCGTTTATCGAAACTCGATTATGGTGACCCAGATTTTATGCCGCGGCCTCTCCGCTACTCTTCGCTAGCCTTAACTCTATCCATCACCAAGGCTTACTTGTGCCTTGGGCTTTTCGCTCTTCCCCTGTTTGAGAGCCTCTATACAAGAAGCAAATGTTCCATCCTTGTCTGATCGCCGGGATGCCCATTGCCTTCGTTACTATGTAAGCTCTCACGATCTACTCAATCTTCCATTTATAGAATGGTTCACCGATATTAGTAACATTCTTTTTCGTTCGCCGCCCCTGTTTGCACGTCCTTTTCCTCTTCGCCTACTTTCCCCTTGTCTTCCCTTTCAGTTACCACCTTTTAATATGTGCATGTAGCATCTCACTTTTCCCTAACCCCCTGGGAAGTTCCAGCTGTTCCGGGCTGTTCTTTCTCACTCCCGTGCGCGAAAGCTCAACTAACTGCCTACGGTGGCTTTCCCGCGCCCTCTTTTTCTTGTCACTTCCACTCTCACTCTCATGCCCAACCGCTGTGTACACAATGGCTCTAAGTCTTCAGACTGCGTCGATTCGCAGCAGTGTTCCGGACAGCTCGACGAGGCATTTTACTAATCTTCACTAGCCATTTTTACTGCTGAACTGTATGCCATTCTTGCAGCACTTATTGTATCGCATCTAATGCCCTGTGGTCATCATTTGTAGTAGTCTCAGACTCCCCTTAGTGCTCTACAGCTATGAACGAAAAATTTGATACATCTCATCCCCTAGTTCTCTCCGGATCCAACTTTGCTACGGCCTATCTCTACCAAACATAAAGATATTGGTTTTTTGTTGGGTCCCCCTGGTCATGTCGACGTACCGCAATGAACAGGCAGACACTGCGGCGCGGTTCAGCAGTATATGAACCTACCAATTTCGTATCGAGGGTTCCATTTCTGGACTAATTTTGCGCCATAGCTACCCACCTTCGCACGCACCGTTGGCAACAACGTGGTCAACTCTGCTCGTTTAAACAAACTTCATTCTATTAAACCAGCATAGGTTACTGGCCGTTTTCTTGTCACAGTGCCGAGGTTGGGAGACCACCCTTCCCGCCTTTCTCGCATTGGCCACATCTCGTCTTACTCATGGGTACTCATGGAGAAGCACCCTGTTCCTCCTCTGTGTCAGTGTCCAATTTCCGTATCGATTAGCCACATTCGGTTTAGACTGTGTGCCCTCTCATCAACGGCACGCAGCATTTACCATCCAACGTCGTCTTCGTTCTCCTAATCTCTCTTTACATCCTACCTTCCTTGCTGCATGGAACCCTCCCTTTATAATCCGACTCTTCTCATTGACGTCTTGACAACGACTGATTTACTCCACAAACTCTGATGATACTTTTCGCACTCCCCTCAGCCCTTTCTGGTTCAGTCTCTTGCTGCCCTTTACCCTTTCACCATCCACTGCCCCGCTGTTATCCGTAACCTGTTGCTCATCCATCTCCCTTTTGCCACCTGATGCCCTCGCTTCCTTCCTGCCCTGCAGCGCTGTATAGTCCTTGTGGCTTAGCGCTTCTTTTTGATTATAATAATAATAATAATAATCTGGAATGAAATAATATCGTAAACCAGGGGTCCACTGTAATGAGAACTGTTTACAAATGGCAATTAACATAGTAATCCATGAAATGTTACATATAAAAGACACAAGCTATCAGCATATCTGTAAATGGTTCAAATTTTACCAGAGCAATAAGAAAAATGTTTTTAAAAGATAATACCACATTAGCATTTACCAATATCATGTGGAGTACTGCTACTATTCTTGAGGTACTATATAAATTATATGCTCATTAATTTTGCCTAGTCTGAGCTCTCATTGTATGCTAATGACACTTTCTGTGTATTTCTGGCATACTTACAAGGTGCACAAAATTACTGTCATAATGGTAAATCAGTAATTACATTCAAGGGTTAATTACCCTCTTACTTTATGCTAAAGTGTAACCCAAAGCATACTCTTGACCCTGGCCTTGAGCATATAAGGTATAGGGTGATTTTCCAAGGCATTTTGTGAGGAAAAACAGGGTGCTTTATATGCTGGAAGATATGGTATATGTATATTTAGATAAATGTTACCATCTGACTTGGGGTCGTGTATATGGTAATTAATAGATAACAAATGTTCTCTCATCTCTGGAAAAGTGAAACAGTGCTACCCTACTTACTTTGAGAGATACACTTGTTAAGAGTTGTGCAATAGTATTGCAATCTTCCATCAGTGGGCATTTTGTGACACCACTGTATTTGGCAATGGAGGATTCCACTGCCTGTAATGCCACTTGCTCAAAATAGTCATAGGCCTCCTGGATGATAGTCCAGGTATGAACACTCAGCCGAGTCACAGACAGACTTTGAAAGAGACAACTCTACTGCTGCCAGACTCTAGTGGATAATGGGCGAGAGTTTATAAGATAGGTTGATGGTCACTGCCATGCCTTCAGTCAAGTATAGCATTGAAAAGGTGACTGAGTAATTCATTGCAGTGTCCCTGTTATATAAAAACAATTCAATTCAATGACTCCATTTTTACATTACACTAAACCCAATTTTATCACATTATGTATATAGCCTAATAATATACAAAACTGTAGGTTTGTCTTCATTCTCACATTTATCAGTGTTACTTGTGCATAAAATGTGCATATTATGGGCCCCAGAAAAAAAATACCTGTAACTAGCCACTTTTCCCTAAATTCTTAATAAATGGACAGCACCTTATTTTTTATAGACAAATATTTACTGTATTTAATTTTGACAAGCAATGCTCTCCCCTCACACACCGAGTGTCCGTGGTTCAGTCCCCGGCATGGGTGGAAATATTGGGCATGTTACCTTACACTGCTGTCACTGTTCACCTAGCAGTAGGTAGGTACCTGTGTGCTAGTGGACTGTTGTGGGTGGCCTCCTGGGGACAAGATTGAAGAACCACAATGGAAATAACACAAGACAGTCCTTGATGATGCACTGACTTTTTTTGGTATCCTGAGTGGCTAACTCTCGCCCAGGTTAAAAATCTGAACTCTTATATTATTATTATTATTATTATAATTACTCATTAAATAAGTAATCCATGTGGGTCATTCAGCGCATGGACTAGTGCGAGTAACATATTACATGCAAATACTGTAACTATACCACTATATTACTGTAGTACTGTTTACAATGACTTAAGTACGAACCTTGAATATTTTTGGCTTGTTACTCAACTGTCCTTTTGGTGGTCGTTTTAGTAAAGATTCCACAAAGCTTCGAGAATCTGAAATACAAAATAGCCTTCAGCTCTAAATTGTGTAATATCTACCCAATACTATACCTCTTATAATCTTGGTTTTGTTACAAAAATGTAATTATCCTTGATAATTATAATTATCAAGGACCCCACTGGAAATGGGTTGCTTTTCTGACTTGCACTATATGATAATTAATAAAAATAATTATGATAATATTTATTTCTACAAGTACTTATACAGCGTATACGGAACATAGATGACATCAGTGAAATACTATATAGAAAGTCCCTGGTTATAAGAACATAAAAAAGAAGGAACACTGCAACAGGCCTACTGACCCATTCAAAGCAGGTCCATGCCCCCCCACCCACCCAGATTTCCCCAATGACCCACCTAGTCAGGTCACTTCCACTTTAGGAAGGAGCATGGCTTGACTAGCACAAGCTAGTCAAGTCCAATTCACACCCACCCACACCCACTCATGTATTTATCTAACCTATTTTTAAAACTACACAACGTTTTAACCTCTATAATTGTACTCGGGAGTTTGTTCCACTCATCCACAACTCTATAGATAGATGAGCTAAAATTACTTGCAAGTGTAGGTAATATAGATATTATTGGTATAACAGAGACCTGGTTCAACCTGAAAGATAGAGAAATGCCTTCTGAATGCAACATACAGGGTTATAAACTATTCCACACTGATAGGGTCAACAGGAAGGGTGGTGGTGTGGCGATGTATGTCAGAGAAAATTTAAATTGTTGTCTTAGACATGATATAAGATTAGAAACATCGAACACAGAATCGGTTTGGCTACAGTTTTTCGAGGGACGTGACAAATTAATTTTGGGTGTGATTTATAGGCCCCAAACCTTGATAGGGAGTGCAGTAAGCTGTTATGGGACGAAATTCATAAGGCATCTAGATATGAAAATGTTATGATAATGGGAGATTTTAACCCTTTAACTGTCGCGGCCGTATATATACGTCTTATGAGGTACCGTGTTTGACGTATATATACTCATAAATTCTAGCGGCTTCAAATCAAGCAGGAGAAAGCTGGTAGGCCCACATGTGAGAGAATGGGTCTGTGTGGTCAGTGTGCACCATATAAAAAAAAATCCTGGAGCACGTAGTGCATAATGAGAAAAAAAAAACTCCGACCGTTTTTTTTTAATTAAAATGCCGACTTTGTGGTCTATTTTCGTATAGTATTTATGGTTGTATTCTCGTTTTCTTGGTCTCATTTGATAGAATGGAAAACATATTATAGAAATAGAGGTGATTTTGATTGATTTTACTATAAAAAGAACCTAGAAATGGAGCTCAAAGTTGGGGAAATGTTTGATTTTTGCCAATGTTCAAAAGTAAACAAATGATGCCATTGTCCAATAAATGTCCAACTAGCCATTCTAATATGCAGTCATGAATGGGTTGATGTTATTTATACAATTATTACAGTATTGCAGTAGTCTGCATAATAGTAAGTCTTCTATTTTTTGTTTGAATAAAAATTCAAAATAGAAAGCAAGAGTAATATTAGAGGGGCCTGGAGACATGACTGATGAGCAAAAAAAGTTATTTTAGAGCCAGGAATGTCTGCATTGTTCATTCAGAACCTTATTTTGAAATTGTCATATTTTTTAGTTTTTGTGAAATTGGCCAAATTGCAATTTCTGACCACATTATTAGGTAGTTGAAATCGGTAAATGGGCAGTTTCTTGTACTCAATCGATAGAAAAAATGGAGTTCTAAAGAAATAGCTACGAGTTTGGGCGACTGGAATAATGGAATTAGCTGAAAATAGGGCTCAAAGTGGGCGAAATCGCCGATTTGTAAACAGCGCTGAGGTCGCTAACTTCGCGAGAGCATAATTCCGTCAGTTTTCCATCAAATTTCGTTTTTTTTGGTGTCATTACAATCGGGAAAAGATTCTCTATCATTTCACAAGAAAAAATAATTTTTTTTTTTTTTTTAAATTTTGCGACACCAGGAGACACCTCAGGATTGGGGGTTGCGACAGTCAAAGGGTTAACTTTAGACAAATTGATTGGAACAATATGACAGGAAATCTTGAGTCTAGTGACTTTCTTGATACGGTTCAGGATTGCTTTTTAGAGCAGGTTGTGACAGAACCAACTAGAGGAAACAATCTGCTTGACTTGGTTCTTGCCAACAAAGATTCACTAATTAATAATCTTGAGGTTAATGATGAGCTTGGGGAAAGTGATCACAAATCACTTAGTTTCAATATATCATGGAATTACCCAGATAACTGCAATCAAATCTCTGTCCCAGATTTTCGCTTGGCCGACTTCATGGGACTGAAAAATTACTTGGGTGGGCTAAATTGGGATGTCCTGACTATGGGTCAGGTAGGTAATCTTGGTTGCCAATATGACTTTTTCAGAGCATAGTTCTAGCTGCCCAGACAACTTTTGTTCCGAGTAGGGAAAGTAGATCTAACAAAAATGATCCCAAATGGATGAACAATAGATTAAAACATCTCATTGGTCAAAAGAGAGGCATATATAGGCATATCAAAAGAGGGGATGGGCAGTTAAGAAATCAATATATTCAATTAAAGAGAGAAATAAAGAAAGGAATAAGAAAAGCAAAAAGGGATTATGAGGCTAAGGTCGCAAGGGATTCAAAGACTAACCCAAAAGGGTTCTTTCAGGTATACAGAATGTAATGAAGTTGGTAGAATTACCGACAATATGTAAAGTAAAAGGACACAAGTGCAACTAATGTGACATTTATTGTGGCAGCATTTCGCTCTCCAGGAGCTTTATCAAGCCATTACAAACAATACATGGACACAGAGGGTATATAAAGGCTCAGAGTGAGGTGCAATACTAGTGAGGTACCATTTCGATGTTCACTAGTGGTAGTAGTGGTAGTGACAAAAGTAATACAATATGGTAGAGCAATTAATTCATACATGAGTAAAAGGATATAAAAGCTATTACTTGGGTAACATAAAAATAGGTTGGACAAATATAGACTGGAAAGAGGCAGCTTGTTTCAGTGTTCACTCTGTCATGTGCTTTGTGTAGTATAACAGGAGAGACTATGTGATGGCAGGGTTTACTGTTTTCAGGAGGATTCTTGCTAAGACTTCGGAGATGGTGAACCGCCTGTTGTTTTGTTTAATTGTATTCGAAACAGCGATCAGTGCTGATTCGAGGCACCTGCGTCTGCGGAAATTAGTTTCTTTGATCATTAATTGGGCGTCTCTGAATTTCATGAGATGATTGGTGGAATTTCGGTGTTGTACACAGGCGTTGTTCAAGTTACCGTTCCTACATGCGTAAATGTGTTCATTGAGGCGGGTGTCAAGGTTTCTTGCTGTTTCACCTACGTAAATCTTGTCACAGCCTCCACAGGGTATAGTGTAAACTCCTGCATTGACTGGTTCGTGGTGCTTGGATTTTGTCCTGGTTAGATCCTTTACTGAAGTGCTAGAAGCGATGGCGACTCTGGTGTTAGCTTGTGAAAGTACTTTTGAGACGTTCAGTGCAACCTGGCTGTTGGGAAGAATTACAACTTTGTTGGGAGTGGTGTTGATGCGTGGAGAATTAATGATCTGAAGAGCTCTTTTCTTGCAGTCTTTGATGAAAAAAGAAGGAAAATGTAACTCAGTGAATGTTTGGTGAATGTATGTTTATCGGAAACCCACCAATAAAAATGATCTCACATACTTCTATTCCAGTCAAGATACCAAGACCAAAAGAGGCATCATCATCGGGTTTTTCCTAAGAGCATACCGAATTTGTAGTCCTGAGTTTCTTGATGAGGAATGTACATACATTCTTTTTGATTATAATAATAATAATAATCTACGCCGTTCAAGAGGGTGCAGATCCAGGGCCCTCAGTCTATCCTCACAGGGAAGATTTCTGATGCATTCTGGGCAAATTAAGTTCATTTTGTCCCCAGGATGCGACCCACACCAGTCGACAAACACCCAGGTACGTACTTACTGCTAGGTGAACAGGGACAGCAGGTATCTTAAGGAAACACATCCTAATGTTTCCACCCTTACCAGGGAACATGAACCTCACTGTGTGAGCTGAGTGCACTACCAATTGAGGTATGAGACACCTAACAGTATGTACATAAATTTATTAATATGCACACAAAATATATACACAATATACATATGCAGTGAATTATTATTATTATTCATTAGGTTAGGTCAAGTCAGGTCAGGTTCTGTTAGGTTGGGTTAAATTAAATTGGATTTAATTGAGTTAACAATTTTTTTTTATATTTCCACAAATAAAAACTATCTCAAATTCACATCACATCAATTTCCAATGAGTCTGCTCACAAAATAACACCAATATATTACAATAACGGTGTAGAAAATTGACGAGATGAGGAACTTGACAGGTGCCTCACCTGGGTACGTTTATTTGAAGAAGCTTTACCAACCAATTGCTTTGTTAACTCAACACAAAGATAACTATACTACACAGAAGACAGTGGAAGATGAGATCAGTCCCTCAGCCTTGTATGACTACACAGAAGACAATGGAAGATAAGGTGATCAGTCCTTCAGCCTGGTAGCCAGAGTTCAGTACCTTAATATTGATGACTGAGAGGTGCTCATGACTTGGTTGACAGCATCCTCAACTCACACACTGTGGGTCCCGGGATCGATCCTGGCATGGGTGAAACATTGTGCACGTTTCCTTACGCCTGCTGTCCCTGTTAAGATTTATTTGGATTTTTAGTTCCGGACGGTTTACCACCCAGGATAACCCAAGAAAAGCATTGCATCATCGAGAATTGTCTGTCCTATTTCCATTGGGGTCCTTCAATCTTGTCCCCCCAGGATACCACCCACACCAGTAGACTAACACCCAGGTACCTACTTGCTTGCTAGGTGAACAGGGACAGCAGGGGTAAGGGTCTGGTGGCCTGGTGGTTAACGCTCTCGCTTCACACGGCGAGGGCCTGGGTTCGATTCCCAGCCAGAGTAGAAACATTGGGCGTGTTTCTTTCCACCTGTTGTCTATGTTCCCCATCAGTAAAATGGGTACCTGGGTGTTAGTCGACTGGTGTGGGTCGCATCCTGGGACACTGACCTAATTTGCCCGAGATGCTCAGCATAACAAGGGACTTTCTATCTAGTAGTATGTCATTGTTGTCAGCTAGAACTGTATACCATGTACATGTACTTGTAGTAAATAAAGATTATTTATTTATTTATTTATTTAACATTCCCACCCATGCTGGGATTGAACCTGAACACCCAGTGTGAGGCGAGAGCATTGTCAACTGAGCCATGGGACACCTAGCAGGTACCTGGGTGTTAGCAGACAGTTGTGGGTTGCATCCTGGGGGCAAAATTAACCTAAATGCACGAAATGTTCTACATAAAGAGTCTTTCTATATATTATATTACTGATGTCATCTGTTATGTGTAAGTTGTCTCACGTACTTGTAGAAATAATTATATTATTAAGGGTATTAAAGATAGTCTCCCAGGCTGAGGGACTGGCTGCCTCAGCTACCATTGTCTCACCATATCATCTATTAACATAGTGAGCAAAACATCAACATAGACACCTAGGTGTTGCACATGTTTAATTCCTCCAGTAACACCAGAGACCCAGGCAACAATAATAGTCAATATGGACTCCAAGATGGAAATAAATGGTATAAAATACCGACGACACATTGGAAATATAAACACTAAAGCAGTATAATGTGATTCTTTATTGACAACGTTTCGCCCACACAATGGACTGTCAAGTCACAAACAGATCTACCTGGGTGAAACATACTGACTCACGTGTGTTTTACCCAGGTAGATGTTTGTGACTTGATAGTCACTGTGGGCAAAACGTTGTCAATAAAAGATCACATTATACTGCTTTAGTGTTTATATTCCATGATGAAGAATTGAGACACTCGTGCAACACATGGGAATCTTTATTGAAGAAACGTTTCGCCACACAGTGGCTTCATCAGTCCAATACAAAGTAGAAATGGGTAAGGACTGATGAAGCCACTGTATGGCGAAACGTTTTTTCAATAAAGATACCCATGTGTTTCACAAGTGTGTCTCAACTCTTCAAGTTGTCGGTTTTCAAAACCATTCACCACATATTTCCATGATCTCCAAAACGTGACAGACTCGGTGATAATATTGTTTAAGAGTGTTGAGAGAAACTGACCACCATCACCAGTGACTGAGAGCAGCTCCCTGGAGGTCCTAGTCACTGAGGAACTTATATTCTTCTCTTCCATTACTATCAGCAGCCAGATGTCTGCTGCACCACCTTACTGACTCGCTCTTCAAGGCCACTTTACCTTCCCACCTCACACTCACTATTATCTTTTATACCAATATAGACACTTTGTATTGTGCCAAAAAAGCATTCACATTGCTAAACTCACAAATTATAATGTAGTCACTTAGCCTTAATACCATAATCTGTAAGGATTTAATGTTAGGAATTAATCTAAGTCTACCCGAAATACCTAGCCATGCTAGGTGTCCTAGTGGCCTCTGTAATTAGTATTTTATAACATGTAAACCACACAATATCCAAATCCTGTAAACCCCACATTGTAACCCTTATAGAGAATAAACTTGATTTGATTTGAAGTAAGTAAATAAGTTTATTTAGGTACAGATACACATAAGTACAATTATCATACATGATAACGTGTGTATATTACCCACTTATTTCCACTAGCGGTGCATTTCACTATATAACCTGAAGTTTACCTGGAGAGAGTTCCGGGGGTCAACGCCCCCGCGGCCCGGTCTGTGACCAGGCCTCCTGGAGGATCAGAGCCTGATCAACCAGGCTGTTACTGCTGGTTCCACGCAATCCAACGTACGAGCCACAGCCCGGCTGGTCAGGTACCGACTTTTTTCTACAGCATACAGGTAATGTAATATACATATGATAAAATATTAGGCACAAAAGAAAGTCAGCCTGGAGAAGAGTTCAGGTTCATGGAGATGACAGTCTTGACGTGACTCACGAAATCGTAATGACACGATTGCAAACAAACCATACCACGAGTGGGGATAGAACCCGTGGCTAACGCGACGGTATGGAGTTTTGAGACTCTGATTGCGGGTTCTATCCCCGCCCGTGGTATGGTTTGATGAAAGTCTTCTCCAGGCAGCTGAGGGACTGACCATCTCGAATACTTTTTCTTCCATGGTTGATGGACTGATTACATCATCTTCATTTCACTACTACACTTGCTGCCTCCATATTTGACTGATATAGCCTTCTGTGTGGGTGAAACGTTTCAAAAATAGATACCCAACTATTTCACATGCCTGGTGGCTAAGATAAGATAAGATAAGAGATAAGATAAGATTTCGTTCGGATTTTTAACCCCGGAGGGTTAGCCACCCAGGATAATCCAAGAAAGTCAGTGCGTCATCGAGGACTGTCTAACTTATTTCCATTGGGGTCCTTAATCTTGTCCCCCAGGATGCGACCCACACCAGTCGACTAACACCCAGGTACCTATTTGCTGCTAGGTGAACAGGACAACAGGTGTAAGGAAACGTGTCGAAATGTTTCCACCCGCCGGGAATCGAACCCGGGCCCTCCGTGTGTGAAGCGGGAGCTTTAGCCACCAGGCCACCGGGCTAAAGCTCTCGCTTCACACGGTGAGGGTCTGGGTTCGATTCCCAGCCAGGATAGAAGCATTGGGCGTGTTTCTTTACACCTGTTGTCTATGTTCTCCATCAGTACAGTGGGTACCTGGATGTTAGTGGACTGGTGTGGGTCGCATCCTGGGATACTTGACCTAATTTGCCCGAAATGCTCAGCATAACGAGGGTCTTATTACATAGTAGTATGTTATTGACGACAGCTAGGTCTGTATACCTTGTACTTGTACTTGTAGTAAATAAAGATATTATTATAAACTTGACGGTATTTTATACTATTTTCAACATTCCAAGGTGTCAGTGACTCTTACAACCCAACAAGAAGTACTTTATTGAGGTACAATGACACACAAGTACTGGGGTTTGATGCTGCACTGTCAGGGGATCCTGACCAGCACCTTCACTGTCTTGCTGGCCCCAGGGAGCACTGACCCTGCCACCGGGGACATATAATAACCTTGCTGGCCCCAGGGAGCACTGACCCTTCTACCGGGGACATATAATAACCTTGCTGGCCCCAGGGAGCACTGACCCTGCCACCCGGGACATATAATAACCTTGCTGGCCCCAGGGAGCACTGACCCTGCCACCGGGGACATATAATAGGTACCACCACCAGCCAGATTCCTTCCACTTTAGCCGAGATTTATTTTCCGGACACTGGAAGGCAGAACTCGATGCCGTGTAAGGTGTCAGTGGCCTTATAAACCACAAGAAAATTAATAAACCACAAAAAGCAGAATAAACCCCAACATGAAGAACAGACCCCAAACAAGAACAGCTGTCTAAGGCCCTGTAAAACCCAACAAAAAAAGAGCTGTCAGTGGCTCTATAGAACCCAAGAAGAAAAGCAGCAGCAGCAGAAGAAAAAGAGCTGTTATTTGCTATCTAAAACCCCAACATGAAGCAAAAGAGCTGCCAATGGTTCTATAAAAAACCAACAAGAAGCAGAAGAGTTGTCATTGACCCAATAAAACCCCAAGTGTAACTGTGACATTTTGTCACATTAGTTGCACTTGTGTCCTTTTACCTAACATATTGTCGGTAATTCTACCAACATTAAGGCTAAAAATTCGCAACAAGAAGCAGAAGAGCTGTCAGTGGCCCCATAAACCCAACAAGAAGAAGAGCTGTCAGTGGCCCCATAAACCCAACAAGAAGAAGAGCTGTCAATGGCCCATAAACCCAACAAGAAGAAGAGCTGTCAGTGGCCCCATAAACCCAACAAGAAGAAGAGCTGTCAGTGGCCCCATAAACCCAACAAGAAGAAGAGCTGTCAGTGGCCCCATAAACCCAACAACAAGAAGAGCTGTCAGTGGCCCCATAAACCCAACAACAAGAAGCAGCAGAGACATAAGTAAGTTTAATTAGATTCAGGTACACATAAGTACAATTATCATACATAGTTTAACATAAGTGTAAGTTATCCACCAGGATAACACTTATAAAAGTAAGACCAAGTGAGTTATTTCCATTTATGATTTGTGTAACAGTATTTGTGTTCTTGTGGGTTTAGCGCTTAGTTTTCGTTATAATAATAATGTATTTATATGAACCTGTACTTAAACTTACTATACTTTACTTACTGTACTTTCATTTACTTATTAAATTACCCAGGATAACCTCCCAAAAAAGTCGAAGTGACTTATTTCCATTAATAATTATAATTTGTGTAACTGTATGTGTGTTCCTGTACCTAAATCAACTTACTTCACTTATCAATAATGTTAATGCTACTTTACTTATCAATAATGTTAATGCTACTTTACTTATCAATTATGTTAATGCTACTCTACTTATCAATAATGTTAATGCTACTTTACTTATCAATAATGTTAATGCTACTTTACTTATCAATAATGAAGACTTTACTTTAAACAATAATGTTAATGCTACTTTACTTACAATAGTTTTAAATGCTACTTTATTATCAATAATTTTAAATGCTACTTTCTTTAAATTTAATGTTAATCTACTTTCTTTCAATAATGTTAATGTATTTTATTTATCATAATTTTAATGCTATTTTTACTTATCAATAATTTAATGCTATTTTACTTATCAAAAATGTTAATGCACTTTATTATAAATAATGTTCTGTATTTTACTTATCAATATGTTAATGCTACTTTACTTATCATAATTTTTAATGCTACTTTACTTATCAATAATTTTTAATGCTACTTTACTTATCAATAATGTTAATGCTACTTTACTTATCAATAATGTTAATGCCACTTTACTTATCAATAATGTTAATGCTACTTTACTTATCAATAATGTTAATGCTACTCTACTTATCAATAGTGTTAATGCTACTTTACTTATCAATAATGTTAATGCTACTTTACTTATCAATAATGTTAATGTTACTTTACTTATCAATAATGTTAATGTTACTTTACTTATCAATAATGTTAATGCTACAAGAAGCCACATTCCTGCTCAGTCACTTCTTTCTTCTCTTATAAAACTGGTTTATACTAAGAGTGACCTTGACATGATCAGACAACATCTAATACATCTTTATTGCTGTGTACCAGGTATACCAGGTATAGCTGGTGTAGCAGGTGTACCAGGTATACCAGATATAGCTGATGTAGCAGGTGTACCAGGTATACCAGATATAGCTGATGTAGCAGGTTTACCTGGTATACTAGGTGTAGCAGGTATAGTAAGTACAGCTGGTGTAGCAGATATGGCTGGTATAGCAGGTATAGCTGGTGTAGCAGGTATACCAGGTATAGCTGGTGTAGCAGGTGTACCAGGTGTAGCAGGTATACCAGGTGTAGCAGGTATAACTGGTGTAGCAGGTATACCAGGTGTACCAGGTATACCAGGTGTAGCAAGTATACTAGGTGTAGCAGGTACAGCTGGTGTAGCAGGTGTTTAAGGCATGACTACCTACTGTAGGCACAGAAATAAGTGTTCAGGCCTTGAACACCTTATTCCCTCCCATAACACTTGTGCTGTAAGTTTTTATGGTACAATTACATGCATTTTTAGTAACTTTGATCTTTTTTGGGTTATCCTGGTGTGTAATCTACATATATATTACTATGTACGATAATTTATGTAATTATTTATGTGTACCTGTACTTAAATAAACTTATTTAAACAATAATCCTGCATAAAAGCATATGTAAATTACCCATGATAGCCCAAAAGAAGGTCGAACACATTTGCCTTTTTTTTTTGTTTTAAACCAAACTTGAAGATTGGTTTTTAGCCTGAAAATTATAATAGTGGTTGTTTGGTTGTCACACAGAGGCTCATGGTCACCGAGGCTACAGTAACCGCACCAAAGGTCAAGATGATGAAAGTTAAGAAAAACAAAATGAAGAAAGCTAAGAAGAAGCTGAAGAAAGGATTAGAGGTTAGTATGTATGTGTGTTCTCTTTACAGTGGGTGCCCTGAGGCTGGTGGAGAGCTCTTGATCCATGGAACTGGAGCTAACTTTTCCTATAGTGAACCTGATCATCTCCACCTCCCCAGGTCCTGTGTAGCTACAGTAGTTTATTACTTTTGGAAATATAGACATAAATGCAGCATAATGCAATTCTTTATTGAGTACATTTCACCCACACAGTAGTGGGCTTTATCAATTAACAGACATTGTTTGTGACTTGATAAAGTTCACTGTGTGGACAAAACATAGTCATATATACATAAGATTTATTTTTAAATATGCACTTTTGTGTAAAAATACTGTACGTATTATTAATTTTGTATTATTGGGTTAGGTTGTCATTATTTGTAAGCATTTGTAGAACAGATCATAACTAACCCACAAATTAGAAATGAAGTACATGACTTTTCTGACTTTCCTGGCCTAAATAATGGTCCAAAATGCACTGAGATGTTAGTCTAGTTTCTATTTCCAGTTAATTTAAGATATTGGACCAGCAGCTGGTTGTCCGAACTTTAGTAGCTAATGAATGAGCAGCTATTTGAGGAGGACCAGACTGCCAGACATATCACAGACACCTGCTGTCCCTGTTCACCTAGGAGTAAATAAGTACCTGGGTGTTAACCAACTGGTGTGGGTCACATCCTGGGGACGAACTGTTCTACATAACAAGGGACTTTATATATAGTATGTCAATGATGTCAGCTGGGTCTGTATAAGTTGTACATGTACTTGTAGAAATAAAGATTATTATTATTGTCATCATACCAACACACTGGAATAAAGTCAAGTGTAACAATTAGGACATTTGATTAGGAAATGTTTCACCCACTGGGGCTGTTTTAGTCCGATAGGGGCCATTGATGTTAAGTGCTAGAACATGCATTACTTGCTCCTGTAGTGTGTGGCAGGGTAGAACCAGCTTGGCAAACACTCCTGAGATGCTAAAACTATCTGAGTTTTGGGCTACTGTGTTGCAAACCTCAGTCAAGGCAGTGATGTAACTGCAGATTGTCCTCCATCATGACAGACTTGGCATATTTCCATCTCACCAAGTGCCCTTATCTCTACTGCATGCATAGTTGTGTTCACTGAGAAACTGGTTCAACCTCCTGGCTGTCTCTTGCACATATTCTGTATCACATCTCCTCCATGGGATAACACACACACCTGCGCTTGTCTTGACTGTTTTAGCTTGATTCTGGCAGTTGATCCTGGCAAGCACAGTGTTAATATCCAGAGCTCTAAAAGCAATAACCAGACTCTTGTCCACATAGCATAGACTTGTAATATTGCTGGTGATGATGGTAGGATGTGCTCACTTTCTAGATGCTCCATTTATAGGCTAGGCAGAACAGTGCAAATGGGGTAGTGCATGGCTAACCTTAATCACTGTCTAAAGTTGTTCTCCCCAAAGCTGAAACAACTGTAATTATCACATAGCTCAGTAAGGTCAACAGAGTCACTGCTGGGCACCAAAGGATCTAATAAAACTTGTATGAAACACAAGAATTTGCAAGGTCACTTGGTGAGATGGAATGATACCAGCTTAGTTGTGAAGGAGGATAACCTGTAGAAATTTTGCTGCCTTGAGGCTGCTCCATTTGCAGTTTCCAACACAGTATCCTAAAACCAGGCTACTTTAGCATCCAAGGAGTACTTGACAAGTTGGTTATACCCCATCTCACATTACGGAGTGTTTTATGTTCTCTGTTTGGGATTGAAAATTCAAATTCAAATTCAAATTCAAAAAAGTCAAGTGAGTGAAACATCTCTTAATTAAATGTTCTAAGTATTGCATTTGTGTCTTTATTCCACAATGCTAATGTTGTGTATGAATGGTATATAATACCATAGTTCTACTGTCTTCAAGTTATGTCCTAGAATTTGTATTGATAAAGCCACTGGATGGCGAAACGTCTACAATAAAGATACCCAGATGTTGCACATGTGTCTTACTCTCAATGCTAATGTTCCAATTTTTAAAAGTACACATATGTATTGGTTAAATTTATATATATTGTTGTGAGTTACACTTTAATTTTCAGAATGTAGGCTCAGAGAGTGAGGGAAACACCTTGGATCTGAATCAGAAGCTGTATCCCCTATCTCACTATGTGTCAGATCAAGAGGAACTTGTCAATCACATGTTCACAACGATTCGAGGATCCAAGCTGGAGGCGATGCTTCCACCGATACTCAGGGTTGGTGCAGGCAAAATGCTTTTGTCATGTTGCCAAAAGTGCAGCATATATCTTGGTTGATTTTAGCTGATTCTTTGTACAGAATCACTCAAAGTGTAGAGTGGGGGTACTGTAACCCTTGAACAGAGTAAGGACAATATGTATTTTTTACCACCACAATCACCTTAGCTGCTACCATAGCCATTACTATATACATCATATCTACCATAACCATCAT